ATGATGGAGACAGAAAAGAGAGATATCAATCAGAAGCAGCTTTATACTAAAAGTTTGTTTGGCCATCGAATGAAATGAAGCTTTTTCTTTCTTTTACTTTTTCAACTCCAAAAGCGAGTGGATGGTTGAATATGTTCACTGCCACTCAAATTCACAAGTGGCATACACACACATACCATCCACATAGGGAACTTCACCACCTGCTTCTCTCTTTCTTTCTTTTATCTGCTTTTCCTCTTGCCATTAGAGAATATAGACTCCAGAGTTCAGAGTGGAGTTGATTGGTCCCCAATGRTCTACTTCCTCAGTTGTTCCTACTTTTCTCATTCTGAAGATGCCAGTTCTCAAAGCTATTCTCTTCTCTTGTATATGCAACATATGCTTGGGTTTCAAGTTTAATCGATCTTCTCTAGTTTATAAAATATTTATATAGAGAAAGCGTAATCACAATTCACAGTAGATCCATCTCTATCCAATATCTATCTTCTCTCACTTTTTTAGATTGATGGGGCACCTCAGTAATCTGAAATGGTTCTTCTTTTACTGTTCAGCATTGGTCAGGGACGGGGTCCAAGTTGACAGGTGTATAATTTGGATCGCTTAAAAGAGGAGATGAATAACTTTTGGTAGGAGAATGAATTCCATTTTAAGCATAAAAAATGGTTGATAGAAAGCAAGATTCCAAACCCAAATCTTTGTAGATACTATATTTTAATCGTTTTTTCGTTTGATTTCTAGGGTATGCTTAATTTCCCAGACGTCCTTGCTAAGCTTTGACAGTTACTATGGTTATGGGGACCAGTTTTCCGCACTGCAGACCCTAGTGTATAAATTACAAAGCAACCTTCACAACCCTCCAAAACATGGCCACGTGGCTATTCATTTATCTTCCATGTACGTCACAAGTGGTTGTTTTGTATCTACTTTCTTGGCTTGGGCCCGTTGGGAGAAAACACAGCCTTCGCTGTTTTTGAGCTTCATGTGCATGACACGTTGGCATGAGTCCGGATTAGTTAAACGATGGAAGCTGTTAAGCGGGCTTGTACCCAATCACAATAACCCACGTAAGTTTTACAGGGAAAGGGCCCTTCTCATGCTTGAATCCTGTTAATGGGGACTGAGTCGACTGACAGGAGACAATGAGTTGGATTCTGCTCTCAACAAATCCCGTCCCCAACATGATCTGACACCGCATACTCACCATGCTACTGGGACCCATCATAAGACTGAGACCCCACAGTGTTTAAGATGTGCGGTTTCACTTTAAGTTTATGTTCCACATATTTTGGTGGGAACAGATTAGAGTCGGAGACAATGCATTCAATTTATCTTTTTTTATTCATCTGGTCACCCTAACATTCACCACCTGTTATCCGCATGGATTAGGAGGATCAAAAAGATCCGTATAATACCAGCTTTTTTCCAAGTTTCTCAATCCTCCTCCTCACATAAAAGAGACTAAAATGCTACTTAACCTCTACGAAAAAATGAGTAATGAGCCAAAGAAGAGATTACAATGGCACCCTCACGTGTGTCTCATAATATATCTCAATCGTGTATTGAAAATATTTTTCAATGATAAATATGAAAGATATTTCAAATGCATGTGGTACACAAATGGTAACTCAGCAAAGAATGGGAGAACGAACAAAATCTACTAATTTAAGAAAAGAGAATCGAGCAAATCAAGGTGAGAAAACCCATAAGTGTACCAATAAAATGCCAATGCCTCATCGATAGTTTCATCTTTCACATAGATATGGGTCATTGCTCTTCCAAGTTTTTTAAATTGGTCTCTTTTCCCACTTCAAGAAAAAACAAAATTCTCAAAATTTCAACGYAGAGAGAGTGAGAGAGAGGCACTAGGGGTGGAGCTTGAAGATCAGCGCCGGTGGATTAGAAGGTATAGACTGAAGAGAAAGGAGAAAAGAAGAGGGGTTCAACCCACTCCCGTCAGTATCTCTTAAGATGCTCCAACATGGGAAGTGGGGTTTTGTGATAGGATAGTAGACAACCCACTTAACAGATGCTGTGAGGGTAAAATAGTGACTGCAATCCATATTATTRTAATTTATCTATACCATTATTATAAGTGTGAATGGTAGTGTGAAATCCTTGTTTAATTAAAATATTCTAATTTTTGAATTTGGTCCTATTTTAATTATAAGAATATAAATGTAACTTGGACCACTTTTTTCTCCGTTCAAATCTTCTAATTAAGTCTTATGTTTAAGTAGTAATGCCCATTAACATTCATTTAATCCTAGTCTTGATTAGAATGCCCTTATTTTTAATTTGGTCTCTCTCTCTAATTGTGAATGCACAAAATGTAATTTGAACTATTACATTTTTCCTCATTCAATTATTTTTCATTAAGTTTTATATTTAGGGTAGTAAATATAAAGAAACCGTATCAAAGAAAAATAAGTATAATAAAGATAATTATTTTTGTTGATGATAAGAACGAAATACAAATTTAAAATCAACTAAAAACATGAGGTTGTTTTCCTATTTGGTGGAGAGTCAACAATTCAACATTATGAGTCAAATGTATCAATCCTATATGTTATAATTAAAAGATACTAAAAATTGAAAACAAAATGCAGTAAAACATAAAATAAAAGGTGTATAAAACATTTAGTCACATCTCTAACATCGCATATTCATTATATTAAATAAAAATAAATATGACAAATAAAAATAATTTTTAAATATAAAAATAAAAAAAAAAATGAATCATATTATTTATCATAAATAATTATCACATACACACTGACTAGTTGAAAAGATAAACAAGCAAATAGATAAGGTCACGTGTCATGTACCAAAAGTTCCCAAACGGTCCAATCTGTTCTTTTCCAAACATCCGAAGTTTTCTCCTTTAGAAGGGCTGAGCCAGAGATTGAATTCAGCTGATTCAACTGTTTTGAAGTTTGGAGCGATCCAAATAAACTTTTCATCAAAAAGTTGAAATGGATAACCTTCAAATGACTGCCGATTTATGATTTCTAGATTTTTCACCAGATTTGTGCTCTCCAGATTTTTCACCAAATATAGCTTATAAGATGTCCCATCTAAGAAAGCCAAGCCAAAAGCTGCTGCTTTTTACCCTTCCAAACGGGCACTAAGTTGAAAGCCGAGTAGTAATTAGTAAACCGTGTGAGCCCCAAAATTGAAGATATTAAAAGTTAGTGGGCTACCAAATGATCTGAACATCTTGAAGATTGTGGAGCTAGCTATCTTTTGTCCAACAAAAAATTACACGTCTACCTAACCTACCCATTAAGCAAAGCCATCATCTAGGCCTACTGGGCCGCAGTCTTGTTGAACAGCCTGCGTTGCCCAAGAATAGTTCATACATCCATGATTTTAGATGATTGAGACCCAACAATGAATCCATTCTGCCCAATAGATGACACCTGCTTGACAAAATCATTTGAAGCTCATCGAAAAGAAAAAAAATAAAATAATACATAAAATCAAGTGGTTAAAAATCGCATGACCACGATGGTTTAGGCTTAAGCGATGGGTCCCAATCCGTTAGCATCACCTGACAAGTACGAAAGGCCCATGCCTATGGGCCCCCATTCCCTGTACCACCTTTACTGGGGGCGGCTGCCTTGGGTGTTGGGTCTGTCCTGAACTGTATTTGATGCCTCTCCATAATTTATTTCTGTGCTGTCGAACTCGGACCGGTTATTACTAGTAAGACCGTCATGGTGATTGGTCTGGTTCAATCTCTCAGGTCGTAACTGGTAAAATTAAATCATTCTCCTTTTAAATATATAATATATTTAACATCAAATCCGGTTCAGGATCCAGCATCCGGTCCATTCCAGTCCAGGTCTGACAACACTGACTCATTCAAGGTCAGCCCGGCCCACCCAAAGGCGAAGAAGGCATGTCATGAGCTCGCCATGGCCCATACACAGCTGACAATTCAAATAGCTATAAGCCATATGGCAAGAAAAGGACGCGGTCGGTTGGTCGTGGGTGCTGCACTGCTGCTTAGGACTACGGTCCACGGATACGAGTTAACCTTCCTCTTCTTCCCATCCTTTTTCCAGGGGAGGGGAGTAATTTTGCTGGCTACCATCTTTTACCAAAATACCCTTTATGATCACTTTGCATACCGTCAAATAAGTGGGCCAATCTGGTCAAACGACACCATGATCATGTTAAAGAATGGGTGAAAAAGAGGAGTGACCAGATAGGATCCTGGATCCTGGACGGGTACATGAGCATCTGGGCGAGTGGACTGAAAGACTTTTGCTTTCATTATTAATCATGAATTTGAGGGCAGGCAGAGGCAGACGGAGAGAGACCAGAAAGGGTGGAGAGAATTGAATATAAATCGAATATTGAGGTTCTGTACGCATAAATCCAAATAAGCTGTCACGAGTAAAGAGCTTTTGGGGGGGGGATATGTCCTTGGCCCTTGAGCGCCATAAGAGACGAGATGAAAGCGACGTGAGAAAGTGGCCTCTCCATGGAGGGGGAGGGGGGGGGGAATACACATACACACACAGGCCACACACACTCCACAGCTCTTCATCATGGTCATGAATTTAGGGGAAAGCTCTCTTTTAATTGGGCTATACCCGTAAGCGGTACGGAGACGGATAATGCACATTACATACCTAAACCTAACTAAGTTACTATCCGATTTAATTTAATGACCAATATGCCCCTATGCTCTTATCTCCACAACATGTGTGGGGGACATGGTGGGCATTTCATGAAAAAGAAAAAGAATTTTGCCAAATTCGACAAAAAGGGATGGCAACAAAAACGCATCAATCGAACACCTTTTTTACTTCTACAAAAGTGGGGTTTCGGTGGTGGGRCCACGTAGAGGAGGGATGATCTGGTGCTTTCATTTCATAATATTATTCCAAAATGGTGATGATGAGGGATATGTGTGTGGTGGTGGGTGGGAGGGTTATTCTTCCTTCCACCTTATCACATGCAATCTTTTTCCTTTGAGCGATTGAAACGACGTCTTCCCTCTCCTTTCTTTATCTTTCCGTTCTCTCTCTCTCCACCTGTCCTTCTCTCCAAAAGATTGTTCGAATAAGTGACGGGGTAAAGTTGCCCTTCGCCTTGCCTTTGCCCCCACTAAAATTAAGTGGACACGGCATCGGCATCGGCATCTCATCCCATCATCCCTGAATACAAATGATCTCTCTCTCTCTCCACAAAGGAGAATTGAGGGATTTTGGGTTTCGGGAGAATCTGTTCTCAGTTTCTCACCATGTGTTTGTTCAACGGCCTGAGAGACGGACCCCACACTCGGAGCAACATCATCATCGTCATCATCATCAACAACAACAACAATGCTTCTCCGCTACTTAAATAATTTAAAGGTGATGGAGTCTACTCCATTCGAATTTTTTATTCGCTTGGAGGTTGAGAGTCTTATATTTATGGTCGCCGGCGATGCCGACGCCGGTTAGCGCTGCTAGGCAATGCTTAACTGCCGAGGCTGCACGCGCGCTCGACGAGGCGGTCGGGGTTGCACGCCGCCGCGGTCACGCACAGACCACGTCCCTACATGCCGTTTCCGCCTTCCTTGCGCTGCCATCTTCGGTGCTGCGCGAGGCCTGCGCACGTGTTCGCAGTTCAGTTTACTCGCCTCGCCTTCAGTTCAGAGCTCTCGAGCTATGCTTCGGCGTTGCACTCGATCGTCTTCCTTCCTCCCAAGCTTTAGACGAGCCTCCCGTATCCAACTCTCTTATGGCCGCCATTAGACGCTCTCAAGCGAACCAGAGGAGGCACCCTGAGAGTTTTCATTTGCATCAGCAGCAGCAGCAGCAGCAGCAGCAGTCACCGCTCTCCTGCATCAAGGTTGAGCTTCAGCAGTTGATATTATCGATTCTTGATGACCCGGTTGTCAGTAGGGTTTTCGGGGAAGCCGGTTTCCGTAGCTGTGATATTAAGCTTGCGATTGTTCGCCCACCTCCGCCTCTCGTTCGATATTCTCGATCCCGGTGCCCTCCTCTTTTCTTGTGTAATTTAACTGGGGGTGATTCTGAGTCCGGTCGACGGAGTTTCAGTTTTCCTTTCTCGGGGTTCTCGGGGTTTCCTGGCTATGCGGATGGAGATGAGAACAGTAAGAGAATTGGGGAGGTTCTTGCGAGGAAGAAGAGTAGGAATCCGTTGCTTGTCGGGGTCTGCGCAAACGATGCTCTGCACAGTTTTACAGAATGTGTAGAAAGAAGGAAAGGAGGAGTTTTGCCCGTAGAAATATCTGGTCTGWGCATAATCTGTATCGAGAAGGAGGTCTCAAGGTTTATTACGGAGAATGGGAATGAGGGGTCGCTCGAATTGAGGTTTGAGGAGGTGGGTCGAACAGCTGATAGTTCTTCTGGGTGCGGTGTGGTCGTTAACTTCGGAGACTTGAAGTCATTCGTTGTTGATGACTCGGTGGATGCTGTGAGTCGTGTGGTTTCACAATTGACGAGCTTATTGGAACTTCACCGCGAGAAATTGTGGTTGATGGGAGCAGCAGCGAGTTACGAGACATACCTGAAGTTCCTAACAAAGCTCCCTTCTATAGAGAAAGACTGGGATCTGCAGCTTCTACCCATCACTTCTCTTAGACCCTCCGTCGGAGGATTCTTCCCCCGACCCCACAGGTGGGTAGCCTACCTTGCATTCTGCCTCTCTTTTGTATAGCTGTTTCAAACTTATCTATGTATAACTCATGTATATCAGACTTTTAGTTACTAATATTGTATGGATCAGTCATTTTCATTTATCTTATTAAGCTATCACTTGTGAAACATGAGATCTACATAAATACGACTTATTTTAATGTAATACGGAAAAGGTAGTCATCTTAGAATTTAGTATCTTGCAGGTATACTTTAGTTCTGAAACCGAGAGTCTGCTATTGTTTGATTGCACCTGTTTATTCCTATTAGTTAAGCTGTGATTGCATCAGTGTGCTAATAAGTAATAACCCTTCACTCCATTATCTAGATGAAGCTTTATAACGTGCCTGCAGTGGATCTTTGTCCTTGGTTACACGTCTTGCTGAAAAGGCAAGACCTTTCTATGGAAAATCTAGGTAAATTGTTTGCAGTGAATTTTTCTCCTTGGTTACACATCGTGCTGAAAAGGCAAGACCTTTCTATGGAAAGTCTAGGAAGTAATTTGGCAGGGAAGGAAGAGGATATTGATCTTATAGGTGTGCTTGGTTCTGCAGATATGGTTCTACCTTCCATTTGGTTCCACCTAGGGGGGGCTTCTAGGCCAATTAAGTTTCCAATTCAACAGCTATAATCAACACATCAATTTTCCTGTAAAAATGTGGTCAGGCACTCAGGTGTGTTTTCAATGTCTCATGATGGTTGTTAATTGATTTTGGTGAGACAGATGAGAGTTAAGGAAACATCAGGAGAAATTTGAAACCCTCATGTCACATTAAGGTTGGAGAAAAATCATGTACAGGACTTGGAGATACAGTTTTCTAAAGAAATATTATAAACTATACTTCTATGTGTTCTATCTGACAAAAAAAATATATATTGAGAAAATGGAATGATCATGTTCCAACTTCTATGATTTCAAGCCCAAATCTCTGTTGGGGTTATGTAGGATACATATAAAAAAAAATAATAGGAAGCAACTTTATCATGTTGAGAGGACCATATTAAGTCCATCACTAACTAGTTGGTCAGTACTTATGATGTGGTCACCTAGGTGACTAAGCCTTCACTAGATTGTCTAGGTTGACCAACTATTAGTCTTCCTAGTTGATCTAGTCAACTACATTGTTATTTCTAAGTTTTCTTTCCTTGTCTTTATATCTTAATATTTAAATAACATCATATATGCCTTTATTTTGTTATATGCACAGTACTTGCTTCAAGTAGTTATGATAGGATATGGTTGATTGGTATATAATAAAGAAACAAGGCATAACATGATAGAATGACAGTGAGAGTTTAGGTCTTCTTTCAATCAGTGCTATGCTGGTATAGAATTGCCACAAAGGAGACCTTATCAAATGGTCAAAGTTGCAGTTTTTATTTGAAAAACAAAGATGATGTTGAAACATAATATAGTTTTCAAAACTAATGTATTGCCTTGGTGTAAGACTCCATTAACTGAAGAAAGATTTGTCATTCTTATCTAGTCTTTGAACTGGACAAAACTATTACAAGGGTTGAAATTTTAAATTGAAATGAAGGTGCTCAAGGTGTTGTCACCTCAGTAACCACAAGCCAGCCTTAGAAGTTGTCCTTATCTCAAGATGGTTCTGCTTTAAAAAAAACAAAGGCAGTTTTACTCATCTCCTAGATGAGTACACATTTAGTAGTGATTGCTACAGAGATAAATCATTAGAAATGTGATAGAACTAACTTTGTTTTGGGCCCATTGTTTAGCAATGGAGAAGAGAAGTAATATTTTTGATTTTTTCTTTTTTTAATTTGACCATCCACATCTGAAAGATCAATATATTGTTACAGTAATAAGTCTGGAAGAAAATATAGTCTCATGCTTTTGTAAATCTCAAATGACATACTATTTCATGCTTTCATTAGTCAAACCACCAAGCAACAATTTTTTAAACTTTTATAAAGAGTTCCTAAAATAATAGGGTAGATTTGGTTGGCTTGGAAGTGTTTTGCTTGAGAATAGATTTTTCTAGGTGTAAATAGGTCTGAAAGGAGAAAAGTGCAGACCATAGAAAATAGGGTTTAGGATTGGGGAATTTTTTAGGTATTAAATGTATTGTTTGAGAATTCAAGAATATTCGGATTAAGGTAGTGTCAGAAACAAAGAAATAAAAAGGCAACTGTGGTGAGTAAAGGCCATTATCCAATGTTGGTCCCTGCTATCTGGGGTATTAGGAGGAGTGGACTGGATACACACCTAATCGTTGGCATTTTCTTGCACAAAGTGGCTTCTCTCATACTCGAAGGCACAGTCAGCCTGAGATTTTACCATTACACCAAGCAATCACCAAACAAAAGGGGATTAGGGTGTTAAGGTTTCATGTAAAGAGGAATTATTGTCCACTAAAGGGAAGAAATCTTATAGGCATATCATTATCACCCCAAGCTTATGGATTTACGAATGGTTGGTTAATTTATGTCAGTCAACAACTGATCAAAAAAATTATGTGAATCAAGCACAGAATCATTGTATGATGATAAGATCCACATTGGTTGATTTTTCCTTGCTAGTTTTTCTCTTGACCATTGAGAGTACTATTCAGGGAGCCTCTGTTATTTGCTGTGCAGCCAATTATCTCTATCAGGTTATAGATTGAAGATACACTAGGTTGGTGTAAGTCTTCCAGCCAGCAATTTTGTTAACTATCACTTGTTTCCTATGTTAATTATTTGCATCGTACCATTGAATATAATTTCATTTTTTAATGTTTACACTCTCTATGATAGAGTTTCTTGGCACCCATCTCCATCTTTACTTTGCCTTCTGACTATCACTGTCAATTAGATCTCACAGTTCCATGATTATGCTATCTTACAGTTTGATGGAGTCATTTGTTCCATTTGGTGGATTTTTTCCATCATCATCTGATCTGAAGGGCCCATTAAGCAGCACAAGTGAATCCATGTCCTGTTGTCACTTATGCAATGTGAAGTATGAACAAGAAGTATCTTCTCTTCTGAAGGGGGGAAACACTATTTCAGTTGCAGATCAATACCAATCAAATTTGCCTTCCTGGCTGCAGGCACCTGAACTCAGCACAAGCAAGGGATTGGATGTTGTAAAGGTTCGTATCTCCATTGGAGTTTGCATTAGCTCTCTGTGTGACTTTTATCAATAATTATACTATTATAGGTGAAAACTTAGGTTCCAGTTTGGAGACTCTGGACTATGATGGTCCACCAATGACTTAATGCTATACCAGGATGTCATGATGACTAGTTCTTCCCTGAGATTTCTTTTCCATAAAATCTTGCCCTAACAGGTGAATTTGCTGAATTGAATGACTTGTTGCTTTGTCTTTCAGTAGATAAAATAATTAAAAGTAAAATATTTCACAGGTATAGTAACCTACTGAACTTCAGCTTCAGCCATTAAGGAGCCCCTGACCTCCTTAATATCTCATTCACTAAAAGACAAAGCAATAAGTTTTTCAGTTCAACCACTTCAGCTGTTATCAAACAGCCCCTTAGTCTACTTTACTTTTATCACCTAATGGAACTAATCCTAGGTTCCTTTCAATGAGTTCATTCCTAACCCTGTCCTTTCTGGTTTTTACACTCATCCATGTCAACATTCACATTTCTGCCATAGCCACTTTTTAGACATGTCTTTTGACTGCCCAACAGTCTACTCCATGCAACATTGTGGCCTTACAACTGTTACACAAAATTTTCCTTTTTAGCCCAAGTGGAATTCACCTATCACACAAGATTCCAAATGCATCCCTCCACATTGAGTTATCTCTTGGTCTCCAATCCTAAGTGTACCTTGACTTGCACTCACATTATTATTAAATCCACATTGCATATATTCTGTTTTAGTCCTACTTATTTTAAAACCTCTTGTTTATGAGGTATTTGTCCATAAACCTAATTTTGCATTTAACCCTTTGTTAGCTCCATCAGTTAATACCATGTCATCAGCAAACAACTGCTCTTTTGCCAAATAGATTCCCCTTTAATACCTCCTGAATCTTCAATAGTTTGTAATCATTTCTCCTTTAAACTTTGCATGCACATAGCTTGCACATGCAGGACCTATCTAGTCTCTCCAAAAAATGCTTCACTAAATTGTTGCCTTGGGTTTTTCCCATTTACACAATCAGAATTATTTTTCTTGCTGTTGCAGATTTAAGGAATTTATTTTACCCGTACCATTTTGGCAATGTTTCACTACAAATTTCCATTCTACATACACAATCTGCACAGACGAGTTTATGAATTTATGTAAAAACCATGTTCCATATTTTCAGTGCAGGCCAAAGATGATGGAACAGTATTGAATGCTAAAATGATGGGTCTGCGAAGGAAATGGAATGATATTTGCCAGCGTCTTCACCAGAGTCATGTAATGCCCAAAGCTGATTCATATCAAGTTGGATCCCAGTCTCTTACAAGCATTGTGAGCTTTCCGTTTGTCTTGGATGGTAAAGAAAGACCTGGGAATCACAACAGTAACAGTACAATTGCATCTCAGAGTGAAAATGGAGGTGAAAATGTTTTTCCTTCCATTTCCATGAACTTGCAAAGAGTTCCTCAACCACAACTGAACATACCAAATATGTCAGTTTCTGAAGCTAAGAGTGAGAGTCTTCTATCCAAACTACAGGTTGCACATTCAAAAGACGTATGCATCCGCACAGAGGACCTCAGGTCTGCTCCATGCCCCTCATTGAATTGGGACTTGCCTGATGATAATGAATCGCCTTCCTCTGTAACTTCTGTGACAACAGATTTAGGATTAGGAACACTTTATGCATCTAATCAGGAGAGAAAGAAACCAATATCCAGAGCTAATGAGTGTCTGCAGAATGGCTCTAGTTGCCTTCCTGCTGAGCTTGATGCAGTCAATGGGAATGTTTTAATCTCTCCTGCACGATCTTCATTTTGCACTGCTCCTGATTCGAGTGTGCAGTTTGATCCAAGAGATTTCAAGAATTTGTGGAGAAGTCTCACTGAAAGGGTTGGTAGGCAAGATGAAGCTATATGTGCTATCAGTCAAACTATAACCCGCTGTAGAACAGAAAGTGGAAGGCGCCGTGGCACCGGCTTGAAAGGAGATATATGGTTCAGTTTCCTTGGACTAGACAGAGTTGCAAAGAAGAGAATAGCATTAGCCCTTGCAGAAATGATATTTGGGAGCAAGGAGAACCTGATTTCCATAGATTTAAGTTCACAAGATGGGACCGTCCATTCAGGAATTGTATATGATCACCAGGAGATGAATGGCTATGATGCAAAGTTCAGGGGGAAGACAGCGACTGATTATATTGCAGGGGAGCTAAGCAAGAAACCCTTGTCAGTTGTCTTCCTTGAAAATGTAGATAAGGCTGATTTTTTGGTCCAGAATAGCTTGTCGCAGGCTATTAGGACTGGTAAGTTTTCAGATTCACATGGAAGAGAAATTGGCATCAATAATTCAATCTTTGTGATAACATCAAGAATTATAAAGGATAATAAGAGCTTCTTTTCTGGGAAGGATTCTGTTAAGTTCTCAGAGGAAAGAATTCTAGGAGCTCAAAGCATGCAAATGCAGTTACTGATTGGATATGCTCCCGGGGATACTGCAACAAAAAATAATTCAAATGTGTTGGTTACATCAAGAAAAAGTTGTTCTGGCCCATCAATTGTGAATAAGCGCAAACTGAGCAAAACTGGTGACTCTACAGAGCAGTGTAGGACTTTAGGCATGGCCAAACGAATCCACAAAGTGCCAGGTGCATGTTTGGATTTGAATCTTCCTGTAGAAGAGATGGAAGGAAATGACCCAGATTATGGAAGCTGTGACAGTGACTCTATATCAGAAAACTCAGAAGCCTGGTTGGAAGATTTTCTTGACCAAGTTGATGAAACAGTCATGTTCAAGCCATTTGATTTTGATGCTCTTGCAGACAAAATATTGAAAGAGATCAGTGAGAGTTTCAGAAAAGTGATTGGATCCAATAGTCTGCTGGAGATTGATGCAGAAGTCATGGAGCAGATACTTGCAGCTGCTTGGTTATCAGACAAGACAAGAGCAGCAGAGGATTGGGTGGACCAGGTCCTGGGAAGGTGTTTTGCCGAGGCCCAGCAAAGATATAGCTTCTCAGCTCGGTCTGTTCTTAAGCTTGTACATTGTGAGAATGTCTTCATGGAGGAGCAAGGACTTAGTATCCGCCTTCCTTCACGAATAATTCTGAAATAAAATGTCTAAAATGCTTCTGTAATTAGATGTATAATGTAGCTTCTAGCATCTACATGTCTATCAGGTCTGTTGATCCCATGGTTTTATTGGGTTTTTTCAGGCCATGTTTGTCTATTGTATCAATTGCAGTTAAAGATGTACGATTGCTCGTAGTTCATCTCTTAAGTCTTAACCAAATGTTGTCAATTCTCTCTCACTTTTGACGGGTATAGTAATATATTAGGTAAAAGACTTAAAACATACCCTCAGATTTCAAAAATTGACTTAAAGATGCCCTGACATTTTAAAATGGACTTAAACATTCTTGTTACTTTTTTACCCTTTCATTTTTCTTAAACAAATTCATTAGTCCGATTTTACTTGCTAAACCAAAAGAGGAAAAACCAGCGATTCTCCCCAGGAGACTTGAGTCTGAGGATACTTGAAACATTACAAAATAGATTAAAATACAACTGACGATTGGCAAATCAAAGTGAAAAGAAGATGCTTCCAAGTTCCAACCAAGATATTGTCACCCAGAAACCATGCTGATGAGCTTGTCTTCGAGAGCCAAGTCATTAGTCTTCTTGGTAATGGGCTTACTAACATAATGTATTTCATTTCTTCCTGCCAACTTTAAAGCATGGGTAGGCTGTATCCTGCCAGCTTTAAATCATGGTCAGGCTGCTGCAACCACTACAACGATCCTATGAATTCTAGAACCAGATTGATTATTTGAGTGTCACTCTTTCAATCAAATGAGTTTTCATGCAGATTTGACCTTGTTCTCTAATTGTTTCATCCTTGTAAATCCAACCCTGGTGCTCAGAACAAATAGTTTTGGTTTTGGAGACTGTAAGATGGCTTTATGATTCTGCCCAAATAGGATGGCAGTGAAAGCAGAAGGGTATCCCAGACTGACATAACCAACGAATTGTTTCCACCAAATCAATGGCAGAGCTGATATATGGGTGTAGAGGTGTCGATTGGACTGAATTTGGTCCAATCCGATCCAGTCCACTTACAAATAGACTGGACCCAATCCAATACAAATCTAATACAAACCATTAAAATGTAAATGGACTGGATTGCACCCAATTCAAACTGAATGAAATATCAAAAATTATATAAAAAAATAAAACATATAAAAAATTACAAAAATATATTAAAATGAAGAAAATCTAAAAATTACAAAAAATATACCATTTTGGCATTGAAAAAGCACTTTTGTAAAAGTTCTTTCGTAAAAGTATTTTGCGCTCTAATGAAAGTACTTTCATAAAAGTGCTTTATAAAACTACTTCCATAGAAGTGTTTTTATAAAAGCACTTTCGTAAAAAGTACTTTTGCAAAAGTATAAAAGTACTTCCATAAAAGTGTATTTATAAAAGTACTTATGTAAAAGTGTTTTTATAAAAATGCTTTCATTAAAATGCTTTCATGTAAAAGTACTTCTATAAAAATGCTTTTATAAAAGTGCTTTCATAAAACCACTTTCAGACCAATAAGAATATGGACTAATTTATTTTGGATTGGTCCAATCCAATAATTAGAATGGATCATCCAAATTCGATTTGATAAAGTTTGGATCAAATYGGATCCAATCCAAAACCGATCGATTAATAAGATTATGGGTGCATCTACAGAACCAACCAATAAATTCGTATCAGTGGGCAACTTCTTAGTGATCTATTTGCAGACAGAACATGGATTAAAAAAAACGGTGAAAAAAGCTTTTCCACTTGAATTGTTGGCCCCTCTCAAAGGTCACAACTCTGCTAACCCACTTGATATTTAGTTTAATATGCCTTGGCAACCACCTAAAACAAAGTTTACCGATGGGGGATATGTTTAAGTCTAGTGGAGTTAACCCATATGATATATTTACGTCTATTTTAAGACCTTAGGCTGTTTTTGGTTTGAAGGAAAAGGTAGGAAAAGGAAGGGAAAGTCAAGAAAACCTTTACAAATCTTGTATAGGTTTTTTTGCCTTTCCCTACCTTTTCCTTCAAATCAAACATAACTTTAGGGTATCTTTTAAGTCAATTTTTGAAAATTTGGATATGTTTAAGTCCCTTACCCTAATATATTCAGTGGTTTCTTGACTCGATACAACCAATATACTGACAAAACCCTACTGTAGATTTTTGCTCAAACATTGCTATGAAACTCTGTTTCGCCTCTTTGCTAGAATTTTTGTTTCTGGTCAATATAACAAAAGACGTTTTTGCGCCTCGGAAGGATTTGAGCATCAGGAAAATGTAAGATAGAAACCTGGCTTGCGTGGATAAACTTGGATGGAGAATTTTATAGGAAAAAGATAAACATGTGGATCAAGGTAATGCAAGAAAAATGCAGTTTAGGGTCAAATTCTTTGAAATCCCAGCAAAACCCAGGGATTCTGGTTTGACAAATGGGCTACACAACACAAGTGAACCCTATAATGGAAATTATTGAACAAAACTGAAAGAGTTATTCTAAATGCCTAAATGGGGATTGGGGATGTTAATGTGGAATAATCCACACATAAGACCATTTATATCAGTCGGGATGAGCTGGAGACAAATTCATACACACCCGCTGAACTACCTATCAGGGTTTGTGAGCCTCATCTGGTATATAGCTGTACTGAATACGGGCGTGTTCAACCGTGATAGGTAGTTCAGCCAGGGTGTATGTTTTGTCTCCACTAATCCGCTCCCCATTTATATACCAGATAACAACTGCAGTTTTGCAAGCATGAAATGTGACGGTGGAGAATGAAACAAAGAATCCGATTCCGTTCATAAGAAGGCCCAACCCGACCAACCCGGACCGACCCAATCCGATTCAGTCGGGTTTTCATCAGTATCGGTCGGTTTCGGGTTGTACAAATTCATAAATCGATGGTTCGGGTTGGTTTCGATTTTCTTGTGTGAAAATCAAAATCGACACGAATCAAACTGACTTAGTTCCTACTTAATTATTTAAATATATATTTCAATTTTAAATTAAATCGACCTAATCTATTTAAATATATATTTCGATTTTAATTTAAATATATTTTATATTTAAAACTGTTAAATAAAAATATTTCAGTTTTACATTCTGACAACCCAAACTTGCACCACACAGGCACATGGGCCATGGGGGGCATGGATGAACTTAGACCGAAACCGACCCAAACCAACCCAACTCGACTCAAACCGACCAGGTCGATTTTGCTTAACATTGGATCGGTTTCGGTTTCCATCTCAGGTAACCCGACCAGGTCGGGTCGGTTGGAAAAACCTCAGTAAACCGACCCAACCCGCTCTGTAAATAGCCCTATTAGATATGACCCAAAGCCTTTGAATGGAAGGGGTTTTGCTCTTCATGGAGTGTGTCTTACACCAACCTTGCAGTACATTCCAGCATCAAGTAGGGAAGATATTTTCAATGTACAGCTGAAAGGGTTGTAAAGTTGGTGTGAGGCGCATATTCTGTGAAGAACAAATCTAGATTTTTGACGAAAAACAGTTAACATAAATTAAATTATATGAAAGGGATCAATAAATGAATTCGGATTTTATTCATGGGAGATATTTTCAATGTATGGTTGCAAAGGTTGTGAGAATAGTGTGATGATAGATTTTGTGAGAACTAAATCCGAATTCCCAAACTCTAATGGTGGTTCAGTTTGTCAATTCACTAGCAGGTCATATACTCATAGCAGAGACTTGGGTTCACAAAAAAGGTTTGGTTGAACTAGATCAAYCAATGATAAGGTTCCACACCAATACTTAAATACATGGGGCCAACATCTTTCATGGTGGGGCCCATGAATTTATTATTGACGTGAAACCCCAGCATAGCCTATTGAACGTGTTACCACTAGGTTGGGGGTTATGGCCTTATGGGTATGTGAATGGGCTACCCCTGTTTGTTTAGCCCCATTAACACCCCACCCCAATGTGCAAGCAAGCGTCCGCTTTGTAATAACAATAGATGTGCCATGAGCAAGTTTGGGCAGTTGGTGGATGGACTTTTTTCAGTTACCATAGTTGGTGGATGGACTTGGGTTGAATAAAAAAGGTAAAGGTAAAGGTAAATTATAGATTAGCAAGTAGTGATACTTAGTCCCAAAATTTTCATTTGCAACAAAGACCTCCTAAATTCTTAAATTCCAACATTTTCCTCTTCCCATTAATTAAATTGAAAAATAATTTACTTAAGTTCCCTTTCAAAATTCATATGGGCAAGTGATAATGAAAATGGGCAAGAGAAAGAATATTATCTTTTTCTCGCCCACTTTGTTTCTAAACCCTAATCAAATAAAACCCTCACTATAGAAAAGAAGAAAGAAACATAAGCAAAGGATTTATACAAATATATACGAGAAGGGGCAAACCGTAGTACAAATTGAGGAAATGATAGTTTAGAGATTTAAAAATGTTCAACAAACACATGACAGCAACATGAAGCTTTTTTGAAATCAAGGCCCTATTTGTTTGCAGTTAAATCTAACATCTAAACGCCCCTGAAATAATAATTACTTTTAGAGGCATATTGGAGCTTGGAGTTCGTGAACTTTTCTTAGCTCTTATATTTAGGGTTGGCAATTTTGACCCCAACTGACCCATTCTATTGGCGGGTTAATATGAGTCAAGTAATTCATTAGGGTTAGTGGAAAAGGGTCAGAGTGGGTTGGGTTGAGGGTACCCATTAAGGTCGGGATGTTTGAGTCGAAGTTAAGCTCTATCTATACTCGCCAAATCTCAGAAAAACAACAGTTAACATGACCCGAACTCAGGCCTCCTAGTGCGTCCATATCTCATTACAAATCCAAACCACCATGCCACATTTTATTTTGTGATTAAAAGTGAAATAAAATAGATTTTATTAACTTTCGTGTTTACGTGCAATTTTACACGAAAGCACTTTTACCAAAGCAATTTTATGAAAAGTACCTTTATGAAAGTAGTTTTACAAAAGTACTTTTATACAAAAGCACTTTTATAAAAGTACTTTTATGAAAGCACTTTATGAAAGTACTTTTGTGGAAACATTTTTATGAAAGCATAAAAGCACTTTTACACAAGCACATTTATAAAAAGTACTTTTATAGAAGTACTTTTGTAAAAGTAAAAGCACTTTTATAAAAGTTATGCATTTTCTGTAATTTTTTTGCTATTTTCTAAATTTTTCTGGTTTTTTTGCATTTTTGGCAATTTT